CAGGTGATTGAAACCTACGTCTTCCCCTTTCTAGAGGAGAAAGGCCTAAGAAATAGAGGAAAAATGGAAAAATGCCTTTCAAGTGACCAGGACATTAAACTGTAAGGACACATATCTAATTTTCTATTCAGTAATTCTTAAAATGGTTTTATCTAATGAATATATATATAATTTATAACATTATATATTTATATAATTTATAATGATATACTTTTAGATAATTTCTATAAATATATTTATCACAAATAAATTAATAAATAATGAATATATAAGTATAATATACACCAAATTGTATTTATAATACAATATATTTGTATATTGTATATTTATTATGCATATAAAATTTTTTGTATATGTTTTAGGTGTATAATAATTTTCTGATCTGAGAACTAAGTTCTGCCACTTGCAGCTAATGTCCCAGTAAGATTTGACTTCTTTGTTTGCTTTCTTGGTTTCAAGTGCCTTCACACAAAATTGTTCCGTGGCTTAATGCTTTTGATTACTGCAGTAAGGGAGGCATGAATTCTTTCCTCTTTATGTTGTGTCCATCCTTTAATCAGTCTTTCCATTTCTTGAGTGAGTTCTTCAAACATCAGCCTGCTGTTCAGGAAGCAGGAGTCATCCTACCTTTGGTGCCTGTGCTTCAAAGAGGATGGATAGAGTTAACCTGAAGTACATGGAGGCCTTTTTGATTTCCTGTTTGTTCCATATGTACTTGGTTAAAAAAAGAGAAAAAAGTGAATTAAATGGATGGCTCTTTTTAGGCACATGTGATTTCTGGGCATTCTGTGGAAACTCCAGCATTGAGCTGGCTGTGGTGATTTCCAACTGCTGTCCACAGAGGTAGCTGAAGTGACTATATTGGTGTCTTCACAGACATGTCCATTTCCTATCTTCTCCTATGCTTGAAACTAGTATTTTGTTGACAGCACCTATATTTGACAAGTAGCATTTTATACAATTCTGGTCTAATGCTATGTCTTAAATTCTCTGAATTTCTACAGTTAGCATATCTTAATTGCAAAAGGAATTACTGAAATTATTGAGTTCTTACATTATCTACCTTTGAGGCATCTTTATTACTTGATAATTATATGTACTAGTTCAAAGTCTAACAATTCCAAGCTATCTTTTCAGAGCTCCCTGTAGAGACAGCTAATGGTAATCTCATTTCTACATCCCTATTCTTTCACTGTCTACTCTCTGCTAAATATTTGTTAAGAGAGAAAGAGTCAAGTTTATTAATTCCCTTACTAGATCTGCCCTTCCTTGTGGCTGGCTGGGCTAATCTTTTTTCTGTATTGTATCAAGAATAAACAGATTTACCTTCTTTTCCTGTATGTGGTCCCTTGACTCCCTTGAAGGAGCCAACAGAGATCTGTGCTAAGTCAGCGTTTCCTGTATCATAGGAGGTGCTATGCTTGTCACATGTATTGGGCCTGAGGATGTTTTCTCCCTGCAGACTGAGGATACCTTCTTTTCCTCAATAAATATGTACCTGCAGGTTTTCTGCTCATGGTGACTTAATCCTGTTGATGCCATAAGCCACGAAGGTGTACCTTTACTGTCTCTCTATTAAGATGTAAGGTGAATGCACAACTGGAAGCACTCTTTTGACCCAGTTCCCTTGAAAAGCTTCCAAATGGGACTAGTTTCTCCCTGCTTGAAACCGAGATGGCATCTCCAGTTTGCCAACTGTAGTTTTCACTTTCATGAATTTTGTCTTTCCAAGCCCAAATCCTAAAGTACAAGGATGTATGAATTTCAAAATGTTCTTCTTTATGTTTGTGCCTTCAGTTACTTCAGCCAGTAGGTTTAAATAATGATTGTTTGATGCATAGCACAAAACCAACTTAAAAATTTTAAAAATCAAGTTTCCATACCTGGAGTCAAGGAAATGAGGTGAATGCAGTCATTCTTTGTTTGTCTGATTCCTATTTCATCTCAATATTTTTAAGTGACTGCCAAATCTAAGAGAAACTTCATAGGGAACGGATATTTGAAACGTTGCTGAGCTCCTGTACATATTGTTAAAATGTATGTCTTTGCAAATGTTACAGGCAATGGAAAGGTGACAGTGTTAGTTTACATGTAAATAGCTAGAGGAAACCAGAGAGGGAAGGCATTCTACAGATATCCCAATCATGGGAACAGCTTTAGTTAAAGCTCACAATCAACCATGACACAAAAGCCTTGAGAGGACTAGCTTTAATTAGTTCTAATCTTCACAAAAAATTAGTTTTCTCACCAATGTTTATTCATTTCATGGCAAGAATACTTCTCAAACTCAGGCATGGACAGTGAAAATAAATGCTGGTTATAATTAACTTGAGTATTTAAATTTAGGGGAAAATACTTACGTAAATATGAGGACTTTAAATGCTGCTTACAGAATTACAAAAAAATCTAATTTTGTCTGGAAAATAAGTTTTTCCTTATGAGGTATTTTAGGGGTTTAAATTATGGCTTGCAGAAACTATGGAATATTAAAATTAATTTATTAAAATACAGCACATTTAAAAACATTCATGCATGTAATCCCTACTTGCTACATAAATTTGGTAAATGTATACTGATTCTTTTTATAATCTTTCATTGGTGTTATGACAGAAGGGCAAATAGCTCACATTTCTTCTTAATAAATATTGGCATGACTAGGTTCCTTGATTTTGTGTAAAAAATTTATTTATTCACTGGAAGTCATACAAATCAGGCTAATAGAAAAAAACTTCCTATTGCAAGTTCTAAATGTCATTCTGTTAAGACTCTCATTTCATTCCAGAATAGCTACTTAAAGGACCAGGAGCTTGAAGGTCTGGAACTCAGACCTCAACCTTCAAAGGACATCCAAACAAGTAACTTAATTGGGGGAAAAAAGAATTTGCAAGGTTGAATTTATGCAGTTGGAAATCTAGAGTAGGCAATAGCAACAAATGATGTCATAATTAAAAGTATTCACAGAACATAAGATTATTTGTACTGGAGAGGACCTCTAAAGATAACCTAGTTCCGCATCTTCCCCTAGGTCGTGCTTCTTGGAGCCACATCCAGCCTGCTCTTGAACACTTCCAGGGATAGGGCATCCACAGTTTCTCTGGGCACCCTGCTCCAGTGCCTCATCACCCTCACAGTGAAGAATTTCTTCCTAATGTCTAATCTAAACATTAAATATCTATTTAACTATAACTTTTCAGTATAAAGCCATTCTCCCTTCTCCTATCATTATGTGCCCTTGTGAAAAGTCCCTCTCCAGGTCTCTTGCAGCCACCTTTAGGCACTGGAAGGTGCTGTAAGGTCTCCCTGGAGCTGTCCCTCCTCCAGAGTGAACAACCCCAACTCTCAGCCTATCTCCATAGGAAAGGTGATCCAGCCATCTGATCCTCCTCTGTGGTCCTCATCTGGACCCCTCAAATTTTTTTTCTGCTAAATAGGAACAGAAATTTATAACTTAGTAGAATTGCTAGCATAGAAAGGGTGTGACATCTATAAATACCTGAATGTTACAAACAATGAGAAATAAGAATTAATGTATGTAATCTGAAAGTGTATACTAACAAAGCTCAGAGGGAAAGAGGGAGAATTGACACATTTTTGTATTTGTGATGTGTAGTTGTAAGAGATTACCCAAGAAATTACTAGAAATACCCTACTTAAAACAATGATATTTTAATGGAAAAAATTATTGTCCCATACAGCACTTCACTGCTTAGAAAACAGGCACATCTGAGTCCTCCAGTCTTTACTTAGCAAGTCTTTAACTCACTTGGGTGGGGAGATTTGTTGTTACACCAAGTGAAGGATGTAATTATCTGTTTCTAGCCTGCTACAATATAAATAATATATATTTTTATATTTTATATATTATAAATAATTATTAAATCATCAGTGTTTCTGGACTGTGGAATATTTAATAGCATTTCAGTTCAAAAGTAAGCAACTTCTCTGTAGATGTTAATACCCTTTTTCTGCAGCATGGCTCTTCAAACATGTTAAGTAACATAAATGGCAGTAGACAGGAAAAAATGTTTCTTTGCATTGACTTTTTTGCAACAAATCCTCTTCTCAGGAATTCCATTGTTCACAAGAGGAGAAAATTAATCTACAAAGAAGCTCAGCTAGTAGTAAGATATCTTTATATCCCACTTGATAGTTGGTATACCTTAATTCTTCCTTTAAAACTGTGAAAAAGAAAATCGAAGCCAATAATCTGTCATTTGTGGGTTTGGTATCTAAGCATAAAATGCATTTAGGCACTTGGTGTCATAGCACAAAGTGCAGGGAAGATTTTGTTCTTAAATACATGTCTCCTCAGCAGCTCTTGCAGTGCTAACATCACTTCTTCAAATGCCTGATAATGTTTTGAGTCATGAAAAGCTGCCAATAGGCATTGTTGACACCTGTTACTTGTTTTAGGAAGGGAGTACTAGTTAATACAGTGTGTATCACTGCGGAATTAGTATACAGGAACTGCGTAAGTAGCTCCTGCCTTGTGTGCTGTTTCTTAGTCACAGTCCTCTGTACATTGGTCTAATTATTACTGTAGGTGCCTGACATCATTTATTTTTTGAGTAATATGCAATTTCTTTCTCAGATTCATCAGTAAGATCAACACAATGCCCAGACTCTTGTATTCCCTTCCCTCCCTTTCCTCACCAATAAACAGCAACCTATTTCTTTCATTTTTGGCACATCATAATTTAATATTTACCCATTGTAGCTTGGTACCAAAGGAATAATTATTTCGTAATCACTTTATCTTCAGGGGGTTCTCCACTTGTGTCTGGGGAAAAAGGGCAGTTTGGTCAGCGGGGGGGAGCGTGTCTGTGTTTCCTTTGTAAGGACAGCCCTGTTGTTAGGGCAGGGCACTGTGTGTTGAATTCTAATGCCTCGGTGCAAGAGCCAGCCTGTTTGGAAGGGGCAGCGTGGGAGGTGTTGGCTGTGATCAGCAGAGCCCCAGACCAGGGGCTCCCTTGGAGTGAGGAGCTCTGGAAGTTGTCTGGACCGTGCCGATGGGGAACGCAGCCGCTCCGTGCCGTAGCCAGGGTGAAAAACCTCATCCCCCCAGTACCTGCCACGCTGCTTTGCTTAGCAGCCAGGAAGTTCAGGTACCTTTTCTTTAAATATTTATAATATGCTACCACAAAATACTGTCCGTTCAAAAGCAGGTGGTTGTATCCGTGCAACAGAAGCGTACTGGCATTGATTTTTATGTGCATTTTGTAGATTTCGTAAGATTCTTTAAAATTCACAAGTGCTTGTAATAGGTCTTATCCTGGATTGACAAAGGACTATGTAAAAAAGATAAATGTTAATGTATGGAATATTTATTTTCAAGGAAAATGGTAGAAAATTTTCAAAGGTAGCATGTTATGATAAGATATACTTAAACCACAGCAAAGGTACCTTTAGTTCTGGTACTAAGGTTTTGATTTTAAATTAACACTGGATTAGTTATCTGTCTCTGTCAAGACTATAATAAAGAGCTTTTGTTGCAATCTATCATAGGGCTTTTGTGTTATACACTATACATAGAAACTGTTAACAGGAAGACTAGATTAATGCAGAGAGAAAAAATGTCATCAGATAAAACATAGGTCTCAAAAAGCAATTTCGAGTTCCATACTATGTTATGCATTAATACATTTTTAGCCTTTGGGGAAAAGAGGAAAACTTGTAATCAAAAATTAATTTAAGCATTCTTGACTGTACCTAAATGAGAACCCAGGATACTTCCAAAATTGTTATTAATCAAATGACCTGACAGGAGCTCACTAGGAGAAAATTAATGAGTACAGGCTATTCTGAATAATATTTAGGAATGCTGCTAAGAAATTTTGCAGCTCATTTTCTAATCTCACATGTAATAATGTAAAATATTTCTATTTTAAGGTACATTTTACATATGTGTCTGTAAATGTATGTTATGCCAATATGTTGTACATATGCTTTGTATTTTTTAAATTAACTTCTTCAGAAAGCTTAATAGAAATACAAGTGCAAGAAGTCACTATTTTTCTTGATTAATATCTTAACAATGAAGTGACATGTGGTTCTGTATGACTTAAATATTTCTCCATTAATATATGGACATACTTGTTTAATTTTATTAATTTTTTGTAATTGTTTTTGTAAGCTATCATTGCAACTTGTGTCTGTTTGGGTATAATGATTCTCATATTTTCTGTGAACTATTCACAAGATTGATTTTGTAAGTCTTCACTGTAATTTAGTGCCATATTGGAAGGAAAGAAATTGGTGATTAGTATTTTCTGCCTTTAGGATTTGGATTTGAAGAATGTAGTTCTATTCTATCCAGTTCCTGATGATTTACTGCTTTGTAAATTTAAAATATGACAGGCCGTGAAGGGTTTGGGTCATCATACATGTAACAAAAGTTTTAATTTTGAGATACCAAGAAGTAGAATTATAAGGAAAAACAAGCCTAAATACCAATTAATTCACATCTAACATCTGGAAATCCTTAGTGGTGTTATTATATTTTCTTAATAGACCTAGGAGAGTTGGTTTTTTTTAACCAGAAATTTTAGTCTCTGTGCATTCTGTGTTTTTAACATAATATGTATTTTGGAAGTAAGCTGCTATACAAAAAAATGCATTATAATTTTCTTATCTCTATTTTTGCTTAACATACTTAATGTGGAGAAAATTTTTAAGTCCTAATGTTTCTTGCTGTAGATATGCTAAATGTGTCATGTCTAACTTTGTTCATTGAATTTTGTCTGTAAGCCAGAAGTGTAACTGGCTTAATGCCTTATTGCCCCCAGCAGTCCTGCTGTTCAGAGTAGGTATTGTTGAACCTGATCTGTTTTTAATGTTTGGGGTTTTTTTTATTTTTCCAAGAGCAATTTGATTCAAATACCTTCTTTATTAATATGGACAAAGATATCTTTACAATTATTAACAAGACAAGCAACTGCAGTAATTATGGCTGGATTTTTATTTTTCATTTTACTTTTGCAGTCGATTGTTAAAGTTGACATGAATGACTTAAAAGACACCATAGTAAGATGGAAGCTGTTGGGAAGATAGTGGGAAATGATGGATGTAACATTTGATGCTTAATAAATTGACAAATCAGCACTTGTGTATATTCTGGAAAATCATAGATAAAAACAAAGGAGGAAACTTCAGTTATGTGAAATCAAGCTGAGTTTGACCTTGTAAAAAGAATCTGTCTTGAAAAGCCACAGTTAGTAAGCTGTTTCACTCTGAAGTGTTTGTGTTTGAATTCCATTTCATTAATAGGAATTCTGCTTAATGATAAGGACAAGATTTGCAAAATCCACATGCTGTTTATTTCACCCTATTGCATTTTGCTCTTGAAATTGGGAAAAAACAGCCAATATTGACCTGAATATTTTCTCCTTGTATTTAGGACACCTTAAGTTTTTGCTCTGTACATATAATCAGAGGGAAATTTATCATGAGGGTGAGAGAGGAGAGGGGAGAGAGAGGGAGAGGGAGAGGAATGTATAAATGATGGTGACAACCTCTCCCACCTGCATACTGGGGCAGGAGGAGCCACGGAGGGGAGGAATTCAAGAGAACTGTGTGGGGACACTGAGGAAAGCCCAAAGTTAAAGAGGAGCTTGTATCCAGAGTCAAGAGGTAAATGATTTTCCCCAGCAGAATGGGAAATGGTGTGCAAGCCCTGAGGGGTTGCACTCAGAACAGGACTCACAGGGTGAGAAGTGGTTGCTGCTGCTATGATGTTGTATTTTGTTTCATGGAGCTCATTGACTTGACCCAGATTGCAGTTTCACTCGCTGAAAATATGCTGGTGTTTCCTCTCAAACTTGAGATAGCCCCTGTAATTATGAACTGATATGTCAATTTTTTCCTCTGAAATGTTGCTGCTGTTTCTGTTAATGGAGTTGTACTTGTTGCATTGCTACTGGGGACTCATGTTTTGCACTGTTGCCCATACTGAGAACTCTGCTGACACTGCCATCACCAGAGTCATCTCAGTGACAGGGGCTATTTAAGATTTTCTTGAAAAGCTATTTTATCACAGATAAAGCTCTTGAAAGTCAGCATGCAAGTTATTAATAACTTTATTTCTTTCCATCCCTAGCTTGCCAAAATTGCCTTCACTTTTACGATACTAATTCATGGTAATCACAAGCTTCGTAGGGCTTAATATACAGCTTTTTCTTTTCCAATGTAAAAAATTATTGCCCTTTTTTTCATTTGTTTAGTTGAATAAATATTAAACTTTTAAATTTTGACAAGGAAGTAGGTGTGGCTGTAGTTTGTTTCTGTAATCGAATCTGAATTGATTTTCAAATGTTTTTTTGTGTTCTTTAAAGATGAGTGAGCAGGTGTGCATACAGGCATGGGGGAGAGACTCTAGTCTTGTGATACGCATCTGAGAGAAAATTGCCTGGATGGTAGTAGCTGAAAAATAATTTTTTAACACTGTAATTATGCCTTAGAAATCGAGTAGAACTCAAGTCGTACCTGTGTTTGTGACTGTGCTCTCTTTTCTGCTTATCTGATGTGACAGATGTGCTGAGATGATTACAGATTGTTCTACAAGAGGAAAATACTAATTACCACAGACAATTAATATGATACAGAAGTCAGTCAATATTAAATACAGAATAAATATTACAAATTAATTTAAAATATATTTTATAGTTATATGAGGTAGGTTGGTTTTCACAATCTGTTAATTACTGTCTTAATAATCAAATGTTTTCCAATATAATGTTATTGAGCTAGGGCCTTCAGTGACCCATTGACATATTAATCTGTCCCTGAATAATCTTATCTCCAGCTACAGAATATTTAGAGAATGTTTTGAGAGATTTGTTATTACTTGGGGAACAGTATTTTTTATATTTGTGACTACAAATAAAATATGAAATATTTTAGTGGTGACTCTGTGGTTTAATTAAAAAAGAAATTATGAACTTCCATTCTATACCCTCTTTAGGCATTGCTCCTTAGTTTGACCAAACTCTTGTGACCAGTGACAGGACTCAGGATGAAACTGAGTCAGGGGAGGTTTAGACTGGATATTAGGATAAGTTTCTTCACCCAGAGCATGGCACTGGCACAGGCTCCCCAGGGAAGTGGTCACATCACCAAGCCTGTCTGACTTCAAGTGTTCGCAGACAACACTCTCAGGCACAAGGTGTGATTCTTGGAGTGTCTTGTGCAGGGTCAGGGGCTAGACTTGATCGTGATGGGTTTCTTACAGCTCAGGCTATTCTATGATTCTATAAATGTGTAACAACATTTTTGAATAGACAATCTAGTATAGGAGGTCCTAAGATAACAACTGATTCATCTTACGCTCGTTCTTAAAGAGCAGTGATGTCAACACCACATTCTAGTGATATATTCCACATTTATTTTCTTTCACATGCTTTTTTATTTACAAAAAAGTCTTTTCCTAGTTAGTTGGAGTTAGAAAAATTTTTTGAAAGTGATTTGCAGAAGACTAAGATTTGAGGGAAATATTCCAAGGAGAAGGTTTTCCATTCTGTGACATGGTTCACAACAGAAAGGATTTCAAAACTGTAATTTTAACATATTTCTGTTGAATTGCCAATTTAAGATGTCAGCAGTCATCTTGTCAGTTCTGAGGTATATCCTTTAAGGGATGTTAATTTGCTTTAGAGTTTTAAAATCGTTATGTTGACTCAGCAGTGGGTGGTTGTGGCCTACTTTGTTGAAGGACACCACATGGTAGGTATCTGTTTCTTAAAGTTGTACCTGATCTTGATCTTTCAGTGAGAGTTGCAGAAAAACTAGGAAAGGAACACAAATTCTTTGCACATTTGCCTTTCATAGTAGAGGTATGCATTATAAGAACATCTTCGGATTTTCTGCAACTGGTATGACTTACGATGTCTTGTAATATAATTAAAAGAAAATTTGTGAGGAGAATGAGCTTGTTTTTGTTACTTACGGAATTCTGATTTTACCAGACTTATTAACACATTTAAGTTTTTTTATTGCCTTATATATAGCGTAGTTGCAGTTACACGATTATGTAAGCAAATATAAAAACTATTATATATTCTATTTGTGTTTCCTAGAGTGGGTGGGGGAAGTATTAAATTGATTGTTGTATTTGAAACTGTGGACTGTTCTGCGAGCAGCTGGAACGTGATCAATTAAATGGGGCATATGAAAGGCATTGCTGTTGCACATTGTTAAAGGAAAATTACAAGTAGTATTTTAATACTGATGTATACACATATACTCTAGAAATGGTTGGAAATCAGTTTGACTCCATCAAAGAAAGGACATTCAGTGCTGGATTATTAGCATGTTATAGTAAAAAGAATAGATTAATATCTTTCATTAATACTGAGAAAATAATAACCATTTTAGTAAGGATGAAATGTAACCTAATCAGAAGTAAACTTTCATTAATAAAAATCATGTGATCATGAAATTTCATTAGTCTTCTGAAAAATGAAACTAAAGTGTAATTTCATTTCTAGTTAAACTGTTGGGCAGGTTAATTCATTTTCCCCACCTTATTGTTGTGCTTTCATTCCTACTTGTCTTCCTGTACTCATTAGGAAACCTGAATCGTTTCTGTGACTACCGACATTTCAGATTTTTCACAAGCTTCTAGTAAGTCATGTAACATTTCTCCACACATCTTGCAGTTCTGAAATATTTCTACAGGAGGGTGTTGAAGGGAAAGTGGTAGCTTGTTTCCTAGCCCGATGCTCCCCAGGGCCTTTTCTGAGCACCGGCAGCCGGGGACACTGTCCTGCTCAGAGCCAGAGGCTGTGGGCATGGGGGCAGGTGCCCTGAGAGCAGCTTCATGAGCCACTGCCTGCAGTGCTTCAGAACTATGAGACAGAGGAGGCTCTTACCCACCCCCTAAGACCCCTAATAGCTGAAGAGGATGTACAACACACTCAACAACTTGCTTTTTTGATAAGAAGTGTGGTCAAATCTCATTAAGGCCATTCTTCTCAAAACATTTTAATTAGCTCTCTTTAGTGCCATTGTTCTGCTAGTTTTTTAAGCAATAAGAACTAATCGAAAAGCAACTCAAGCATTTTACCTAATTCCTGAAAAATCACGTATGAAAGCATGGTAGCTTAACAAAAACATTAGGCAGGCGTTATGTACACAAAGTTGTATTCTGTACTCATACTCGAAGCATATGTGAGGGGGATGAGTTTGTGCCAGCCATTGTGCAACTGAAGTAGCAAAGGGTTTCGCAAAGAAGATTAGAGTTGGCTTCTCAAGTGGATTCAGAGTGCTTCAAAGGATGTATAGGAAGTGGGGCAGAAGAGTTTTCAATAGTGGCACTCCAAAAGACATAGGCATCACTTTGTAAAGAGAAGTTTCATTTTAAGATCACCATGGAGTAAAGTACTTCCACTTAACTGAGTGTAAACTGGTGCCGCTTCACTTCAGAAGAGCTGCCTCCAAAGATTTGCATGGAATAGCTGGGAAGATGAGGTAGTTGTGTTTGAGGGTTGCCTTGCCTTCCTAAGTTCTGAGCTGGGAAGCAGCAGAGCTGAGGGGAGGGAGACCTGTGTGACAGGAGGAGAGCTGTAAACCTCTGAGGAGGTGTCATGTAACCTCTCAACCGAGAGATCCTCTTATGCACTGACAAGCTGCTTCTCTCTTCTGCCTGGCTGGGGTTATGAACACTTTCCAGGGCTTACTTGGGAGTGACATGGTAACAGGATTTCATTTCAAAGGAATGAATTTTTCCTTTGCTGCCCCAGTGGCTTGAGTAATGCATGGTTTGGGAGCTGGGGCTGGTGGAGGGGAGGGTGTGTGTATTTTTTATTTTTTTTTTTTAATTTTTTATTTTTTTCATTTTGCCTGAAGGATATAATAGATTGTAACAATGCCTTTTTTGTTATTTCCTCTTTCACAGCTTTAAAGCTATATAGTAAACATAGCGATTTCAGATTTTTTCAGTTTTCTTGTTATGAGCTACGTTTTGAAAAACATCTTTTATAGGATTGAAGAAATTGTGTGAGTACAGTAAAGTTCCATTTGCTGTTGCACACCTGTTATTGCCGTGTTGGGATCACTAATTACAATTGGGAAACAATCATCAAGACCTTCTAGTGGTTGCAACAAACTGCAAAGAATATGAGGTCCGTAGTGGACAAATTACCAGCAGGTACTTTTGTTGTATAGAGCATCCTGTGGCAATTATCTCCAGGATTTATTAAATGTTGTGTGAAATGCCTTTTTCTTTGTTTTATGCATGTTTAAGTGGTATTTTCCTTGGTTGCCTCGCTTGCTTTATTTCTTTGGGAATCTGGTAAATATCATCTCTTCAGGCCTTGCATAGTTTTCAAACATTAGGCATATTTCTGAAGGTGTCAGTTATATCTTCTGTCATTTGTTTCCCTTCCAAGTTTATTCCTGTTTGAAAACTACATCTTTTAGCATACTTACTGCACCTACTGCTACATTTTTTTATTATGCTATGTGTTTGTGTGGGACAGGCACAACAGCATTACTCAGATATTAGAAAATGTTAAAAGTGTGAATTTTTTTCTGTGAAAATATTTATTTACATACTTGTTTGGACCATCTTTAAAAGACTTATCTACTCGGTATTTATGCAACACTGTCATTAAAACAGTAATCAAGAAAGGGCTCAACTTAGGAATTAATATTTGTTTCTTTAGAATGTTGTTCACATATCATTTGTTGTGCTTCTTTGACATGGACAGCGTAGTTCCTTTAATTTCTGTTGGGGAACCGTGATAATGAACCTGTAGTTAAGCATTCATGAACACTTTTTCATTGCTTCTATCTTATAGAGTTCAGATTTGCACTTTTTATTTTACTTAGTTTGTGTGAAGTCTAGCTTTTCAGTACGTAGGTACTCAGTGACTAGAAAGATTTGGGATATTTCTAGAAAATAAAAGTAAATAAAAAACATAGAATATTTTTGATTGTTCTGTTAAGAAAATAAGGGTGGTAGACATGATGTTAAAATGCAATGAATGAGATGTGATCAGATCCTGGAAACACAGAGGTGTTTCTCAGGTCCACTTAATGATCCCACCTGGGTCCCTCAGCTATGAGCCCTGGCTTCAGTGAAAGAATATACTCCCAGGAAATGAGGCAAGGAGAAATTGAACCAGTCTGCGAGGTGAAAGTACTCCTTTACAGTCACCTTTGCCTCTTCTAATTCACTGTGCCATTCTAGGTCAGCAACATTTCAGCTCTACCATATCCTATTGTGCAAAAATCCCTCTCAGTTTTGACCAAGTAAGGATAACAGTGGCTAAACATATACTGTAGGGAAAGCGCATTCTGTGGCTCAACACAAAGCCCTGGCTGCAAAATTGAGAACATTTTGGGGTAAAACTTCAAGCAGAGGACAGATGAAACAGGCAGGCTGGATGGTTGAGGAGCTAGGACTGCGTATGAGTTGCGTTGTGGAAAACCTGTTTTCCTTTCAGTCTGGAGAAAGTGTAATCTCTTCTGCAGTGGGAAGGGAGAATAGGTTATACCAACACTAAATGTTATCCATTCTCTGTATATTAAGTGGGAGTCTTGTCAGAGTGTTACATGACAAATTATGGAAAAAATACAGAATTTTAGGGAATCAGCTTTTTGTGGAGAAGAATTTTAGTAGATGGGTCTTAATAAGCGGCACTAATAAGATGAGAGATGTAACTTGCTCTTGGGAAACTCCTTCCAATCAGTGTCATGGGTGCAGAAAATTACCAGCCTGGGATTCACAGCCTGTGACAATCCTTATGCTGTCTGTAGAGCTAGTAAAGACTCTTGCTGTATTTGCCATTTGGATTTGGAAAGTGTGAAGGGGTAGAGTTTCTGCGTCCTGGAGGTTATTGCACTGCAAGTCCACTGTGGAGACTTTCATATTTAGAAGATGCATTGTTAGCTGAATTAATTGTCAGTAGCAGTGTAGGGGGAAGGGCAACATCTTCTTTTTTCTTACCGTGACTAAGTATGATTTAGAAGTGATGTTCAGATTAGAAGGGTGACTCCTGCTGGTAACATGGGATAATGAATGAATCATATCTACTTCAGCTGTAATAAACGACAACTAGTTTGACTTTGACCTCATAATGAAAGGACTTTTTGTTGGACTTTGCTTGCCCCAAATAAGGAAGTAGTCCATCAAGAGCACAGTCTTTCTCTAATGGTTTTGTACTGCAGAGATTTTTCTGTCTTTTTTTAGGGGAGTGGGGGGCTTAGAAACAAACAAGAACTATAAAAATTTCTTTGACACTTCACTGGAATCTCAATCAGGTAAAGATTTAAAGAGAGAGAATGAAATAATCTTTGGGCAAAGAAAAAAATATTTAGGTACTGACAGAGCACTGAATTCCACCAATACTATGGCACTATTTTTATCTGTTTGGATTAGTCAATTTAACTTCAGACACAACCTGAATTTAAAATATTTATAACTTCAATTATAACAGTACTGTGTCTGTTTTCTTCACAGGTTTGCTGGTCCTCTGACACATTTCAGAATGCCACTGGTAAAAAGGAACATAGACCCCAGGCACTTGTGCCACACAGCTCTGCCCCGAGGCATCAAGAATGAATTGGAATGTGTCACCAATATCTCCTTGGCAAATATTATCAGACAACTGAGTAGCCTAAGTAAGTACACTGTCTTAAAAGCTGTATTTAATATATTTTGCCAGTCACAGTGTTTGAAGTACAAACACCTTTTCAAATTCTCAGTGGAAAATTGTCACTGGGTCTGGAATGTAGTGCTTTTGTGGGTAGCATCCAGCATGGATGTCTGTGAAAGAAAACTAAGAGCTTTTCTAGCAGCATGTCTTGAAACATTTCATCCATATATTTCTGTTACCAGTGAAATATGACAGGAAAAGATACTTGGTAATTAATTAAGTCAGTAATTGCTAACCTTAGAGCAATTCTTGAGTAGGGAATATGACTTAATGAGAAATGTATCACTGGTTGCTTAATTCTCTCAGCTTAAACCCTTGGTCATGTTGTGGTCATTCAGGAAAAAAGAGGAGTTGCCTTTTGAAATAGTAAACTCAGAAATGTAGTTATTATATGGTACTTAAAATAGTTAAAGATTTTTCTTCCTTCTTCTCCCTCTGTCAGCAATTGTACCCTTGGTGCACTTGAGAGGAGTGAATACTTCTTGAGCTGTGAAACTCTGAAGGAGATCTGCTGAAAAGCATGATCTCTGGCTTGTTTTTTCTTTAAGTTGCAGCAAAGTATTTAGTTGTCAGATGAACTAGCATGCTCACATTTTGAATTTTCAATAACACAAGTGCTTTTTAACCACTAGGACATCACTAAAACTACCAATACATTAAATATTTAAATGTGCATGTATATACATCTACAGTGTGAAAAGTCTTTCAGCTCCATCATTTGCTTAGAGTCACGGGTGATGTAGCCTAATTTATTGATTAGATTGATTTAATTATTAGTTTGATGATATGCTGTATGGTGAGTCTGTTGTGGCAGCCTTTCAAAGCTGTTAGGGTGCCATTAGGTGAAAGACTTAATTGAGGACACTGAATTATGAAATTTAGACAGGAATGCTTACAGCACATAAATATGAACATTATTAATATAGCTGCAGCAACAAAGGAGAATAACTATTTGAATACTTTTCAGTGAACTAAAAGCATATCATATCAGGATGCAGTATATGATCACCATCTGTGGTTTTGCTTCATTCTGCCAAAAGCCCTTCCCAGACTAGCTGCTCACGTACTAGCTTCCCCTTCCAAGTCACTCTTATTAATGTTGTATTAGTTTAGTTTAGTTTGCTTGTTTTAAAAATTTTTACTTGACTGTAAGCTTCAACTGGGGGAATTTGCTTTTGTAGGTGGCATGCCAAATATCTATTTGGCATTTTCATCTGGAAGTATTATTTGACCCTAAAAAACCCCAACAGTATCTTCTAACGTCATGGTCTCAGATTGACCTATTGAGATTCAGCTGCCTTTGCTATGTTCCCTTGGTACTCAGAGCTTGTATCTGATGTTGTATGTACTGCTGCTTATGAGGAGGTCAGGATGAAGCAATACTAGAACAGAAAAAACTCAATTAAGGAAGAAAAAAGAAATTAAGAATATCCATTGAAGGCTTGCACTTTTGTTACATGGTTTGCCTAACATATAGCACAAACACTTGGAATGGAATGTAACCATTACTGTGTATAACTCCTCTTCCTAAAAGAGGAGTGGTTCTTCCCTGAAACATGCATTCATGTGTTTATACCAAGTTCTTATCTGATACTGTGTATGTTTTCAAAAAAAAAAAACAACAAAAAAAACCCCAACTTTTTTTCCTACAGTTAAAATAGAACATGTTTTGCAAAATAGTCCTTATTTCTCAGCAGTGCTGAGGACTGTTCTTTAAAAATGGGGCTCATGTTACAAAGGTTTGGGTGAAAATATAAAATAAAAAATATAAAATACTTGTGAAAGAATTTTGTTCCAGAATTCTTTTAGCTTTTCTGTCTGTTAACGCCAGGAGCAATACAAATTCAAAAATATTCAGGAGTTCTGGAATAGGAATTTTGTGTCTCATGCTTAAATCCAAATAACCAGTCTTCACTTGGTGTGTCACTGTTAGGGGTGTACAGTGAGGTCTGCTGACATGTGGATAAATTTTAGTAGTTGCCTGTGAGTCACAGCCAGCAGGCATGGTTTCGCAGCAGTCCCCTGGCAACCAGCTTCTCTGCAGTCCTTCCCTTTTTGTTTTCCATGGATTATGTGTGTGTTTGAGAATCAGCCTTTAAGTTGTAGATGAAATGAGGCTTTACTCTGAGCATGGAAACTGAGAGCTCTGATAGAGTTTCGTTTCCTTTAAACTAAAGCTGCTTTTGCTTTTACTGGTAAAGTTATGCAAATTTAAATGAATGGTCTTTGACCTGATTAGCAATCAGTCATCTCTGCCTCTAAGATTTTTCATTTACTGACCCTCAAATAGAGGATCAATCTTCTGCCATTATGGTTATGATTCTCATGACCAGGCAATCTTAACCTTTATTTTGACATGATATGGAGAAAGAGTGCTGTCATGGAATTGGAGCCTTCACTACTCTGAACAATACCAAAAGTCATTATTGAGGAAAAATAAGCACAGTTTTTCATGTAAGTCATTGGATCTCCATTCTTGGAGATATTAACAACTCAGCTGGATTAGTCAAGCAGCTGGATCTAATTGGATCTGCTTTGCACAGGGTGTTAAACTAGGTGACTTCTGGAGATAATTTAATCTGAACAGGATTGTGTTTCCATGATCTTGTATACTACATTTAAATAGGATATGCAAGCAGAAACAATACATATGAAATGACAGGAATTCTGTTTCCCTGTGTTTCACTATAAAATTAAAAGAGCTTTATATCAGTATGTCAGTGATAACTACCATGTGTCTCCATAGAAATTGAGAAACCTTTCATAGCTTATTTGATGTGCTGCTTCTAATTGTTCAGTTTTAGAAATTTTTGACCTTTAAAAGAAGTAGCAATAAAAAGATGAAATATTTATTTCTGCTTTGAGTGATAGTCCTTGCCTTTATCCCTGGAACATGAAAACATGTCAGTCTGTCTTGATACAACATACAAAATTGCTGGTGAGTAATTGTTTTCCCCCTGTCTATTCCCAGTCTTCTCTTACTTCATAAAAGGATCTGTTTTCTGACAGCTTTTCTTAGCACTGTGGCAGAACAGAAACTCTCTGGACAGCAGCAACAGCTGTCTTAGTTTCCGAGCCATTCTTCCTTGTATTTCTTTCTTTCTAACAGTATCTGCTTTGAGGAAATGCTTACCTAATGCTTGCAGCAATATTGCACATACATTCGTTCTCCAGTTCTCTGTACGTTGGTGTATGTCAGGCCATAACATTCCCGCATACATGGAACACAACTGATAGCGTTGTGCAGCTGTGCCATTGTTAGAAGGCAGATAAATACTTCTCTTGTGTGAATGTAGCCTCCTCATTTTGTTCACAGCTATTGACCAATCTTGTTTTTCCTATTATTCAGCTGTTCCGTGGACACAGAATCTCGGTACCGCATAAGAAACCAAACTGATGGGGTTTGTTCTCGGCCCCAGTCTCTGACACCTCCATCTAGGGAGGAGAACATTTATCTTTTTGAGTATGTGCTTTTTATGAATATTTATATTGTAGGCACTCAGACTAGGCCTTTTATTCAATCATAGCAAGATGGCATTCCCAATTTTTTCTTTTGCCTCTGCATAACCAAAGAGAATGCTGCATAATTCTGCTAAGCTGGAGTGCCTTATATGCTAGAGAAAACAATTTTCACTTAACCTTTTGTAGCCTTTTCCCTCTTTTCTATCTTTTCTGTGTAGTATATCTATTTTTACCATGTTCTTCTAATTATTTATTTTCCTTGCCCCTTATTTGTTAGCTTTCAGGAGTGAAAGCCTGACTTAGGAGAAAATTATTTCTCTCCCTTATTTTTTTTTTCTGAGACATGCCTAATTTTTCTCTCTTGTTTTTTGCTTACCGTGCTTTCTCCAAAAACGTTCTGTTTGTGAAAGACACTTTCTCTTATCTTGTGAGAAACACTTTTTCAGCTCAGGAAAACCTTCATTTTGTCATGGCTTAAGGTGTTAACATTCAATGAATGGGAAGTATTTCTCCAGAAATACTTGGCCACAAGGTGTTGGGACTGCAACTAATTTTTAGAACCAGGCCTCTTGACCTCAAAGACCAGCCTCTCTCTTCACCTTGTGTGGACAACATCTTCAGCATATGTAAGGTTCCTGCATGCTGCATGACTGGAAGTAAGTCTCTGCAGATCTGCAGCTAGAGCTTCAGTCTGTATTCCAGAAACAGCAGAAGCCCTGTGTTGCATCTTGCCCTGCCCATCCTTCTTCTCAGTGTGTTCAGGAGGACATTCATTGTGAAATTTCATTAGTCACATCTCTTAATTCATTATTACTACAATTGCCAGGGAACACAGGAGAAAGTGTTCTTGTGCACAGGGAGGTAAGGAAACTGATGGACTTGAAAACTAAAGGCTAACTCAGCTTGAGAGCACCCCACCATCTCAAAATCTTCCATCTGATTTCTTGATGTTGTCTTTGCAGCAGTGGCAATGTGATGCTGTTTTGTGTGGTTGAATGGTAATGAGAGGATGAGCAAGGTGTCAGTAAAGTTTTGTTGGAAGCAAGAAAATGTGTTAGCAGAAAAAAGTCCCACCTGTCATTAATTCCTTGCCTACATAAAGCAGTGAATTCAGGTTATGTTAGAAATGACAGGAAGAGAAAGACTTCCCTGTGAAATGATCATTAGCACTGCTACTTTCCACATAAGTTCAGCTCTCAGCAGTCTCTTTCACAGATTTCTGAATACATAATGGTAATCTCTGCTAGTTTACGTGATAATGTCCTCAGTGGGTGGTAACAAATGATATCTCAGACTTCCACAGCTGAAGATTTTTGGAAGGCTGACTTTTTCTTTTTGGATGTCAACAAAGAAGCATCAGACCTGCTCTTGGTAAGGCCTTTAACAAAGTTTATTTGATACTTTTGATGCCCTGGTCAGGTTGTCCGATAAACATCTGGTTCAGTTTTCCTGGCTAAAGGAATCAAGTTGTCTCCTCAGTACTCTGATACTCTTACTCTAATC